CTAAGGTCATCTTAATATTCTTTATTCATATCATTATTCAAGATGGATAATTATAACCATTCGTAAAGTTAATAATTATAAATTAAGTATTGTATAAGTGTCACTTATTCGTCGGGGAGGAGGGATACAAGCATAAGGATTTTCCAATGAAAAGGAAACGAAATAAAATAAAATCTCATTAGAAATTGCGGATAGGGGGGGGAGGGTGAATTAAAGTCCCGAGCATTAATTAAATAGAATAATGTCTTTCCTCTTACCACATCCCTCTAGATAATAAAGATAAGGATGGTGATTATAATAGTGATCATTATGATGCTATTGATCGTTTAGTGGTGATAATAAAGGACTAATGATATTTATAATAATAATGATGATAATAATAATAACAATGATAATAATAATAACAATGATAATAATGATAGTAATAATAAAATAATGATAATGATAATGATAATAATAAAAACAATGACAATAATAATAATAGTAATAATAATAATAACAATAGCAATAATGACAATAATAATAAGGTTAATAATAATAATTATAATAATAATAATAATAATAATAATAATGATAATAAACAGTAACAATGATAATGATAATGAGATGATAATAACAATAGTAATAGCAATGATGATAATCGTGATGATAGTAATATTATTTACTATTATTGATCCTTCAGTTATTCATTTCCATTTATTGGTTTCTCTCGTATTTATTTTTTTTATCTTTTGCGATATACATTTGTTTTCTGGAATTAAATTTAGGAATAGACGGCAGATGTTTTTTTTTTATTATATTTATTTATTATATTGAATCTTGGTTTATTACGTATTTGGAATAATTTCCCTATCTCCCTTTTCTTTATTGTTATGGTAACCTTTGATTAACAATTATAATAAATATGGGCTTTATATCTCGTATAAATGAAGACAATTATTAGTCTCAGTAATCAACGACGACAAAAGATAAGACAAAAGAGGATCGTCACAAGAGGGGATTACGTGCGTATATTAGGATCCGATGCGATTATAAAGTGTCTGTTAATCTAATCTCTTCAGTATATTCAAATACTTTATAACAAACTCATTTCTAGGATTCTTTCAATTACAGAATTCTACAGGAGATATCGTTATTAAAGGAAGAAGCTACGTAGACAACTTCACGTAAAGAAGAAAAGATGGACAGAATCATGAACGGCAACGGTTCGGTAGGTAATCGGGTTATTTTTATTTTTATTTATGTTTTTATCGATCTATATCCTCCTGTCTATCTACCTATCAGGCTGGCTGTCTATTTGTTAGTTTATTTTGAATTTAAAAAACAAAAAAAATCCACCTCACTGTCAGTGATTTTAATATTTGATAAAATGATATGAACTTTATGTATAAATCTATATATATATGTATATATATAAATGTTTATATATGTGTATAGTGACAACACTTGTTATTTTCATTAACGTTACGAGTAAAGTCTTTATTTTAATCTTTAAAGAAACATTGTCAAACATTATCAATAGAAATTTGTAGTTCATAAAACCAAACGAATTACTATGAAAATGCTAAGATCCGTACGTAATATGCCATTCACAATTGCTGTTTTGAAGACCAATAATCAGCGTCTGTTGCAAAAATTGAAAAGGTTATTTGGAGATCAGAGTGAGAAGGTAATATTAATTAGGGTGGAATCACTAAAAGAAAAAAAAAATCGGTAGAAATTCATGAACCCGACTTCAGGAAAAGCTTTTGGTTCGGTAGTCCCTTTTGTTATAGTTATTTTTCGTTAAATCTAGTGTAAATTCATATACAAGAATTTAGTCTTTTTTATCATTAGAATTAGCATATATTTCTATTCCCTTTTGAGTTACCTTCCCGTTCAATCTTTTGTTTTACTTAATTATTATTTTATTTAATCATTACTTTCGTGAGAATTGCGTCGCAGCCTTTATACTCGCTATCCCTTTCTCAACCCGCAGCCCCCCCCCCCCCCCCGACAAAATTCTTTTATACCGAGGAAAATAAAATATTCAACAAAATCTTCAATATTGATTTATGTACTTGTGATAAAATACTCCTCAAAGTTATGTCTTCATAGTATATATATAAAACGTTTTAATCATTAGTTGTTATTATTGACAACATTCAATTTTGAATTTATGCAGACTCATGTTGTTAATTTTCATATATAGTTTTTTATATACTGTACCACTGTTTTTATTACTTTTTTCAGACTGTTGATGACATGAAAGTATTCACCGGAACGCTCGTCCATGCCACGAAGGAGAACCCGATGTTAATACTCGAAAACAGGGCCATAGGTGTTTGTGGGGGAAAGGTGGGTAGTTTTACGGTAGGGGGGGGGGTAAGGGTTTGTGGATGGAGGGGGGGGTGAGAGTGAGAGGGAGAGGGAGAGTAAGAGTAAGAGAGTAAGAGTAAGGAGAAAGAGTAAGAGTAAGAGTGTGAGAGAAAGAGAGAGAGAGAGAGAGGGAGAGAGAGAGAGAGAGAGAGAGAGAGAGAGAGAGAGAGAGAGAGAGAGAGAGAGAGAGAGAGAGAGAGAGAGAGAGAGTGAGTGAGTGAGTAAGTGAGTAAGTGAGTGAGTGAGTGAGTGAGTGAGTGAGTGAGTATGTGTGTGTGTGTGTGTGTGTGTGTGTGTGTGTGTGTGTGTGTGTGTGTGTGTGTTTGTGTGTGTGTGTGTGCGTGTAAAAATGACCTCAGCCTGCCCACTAGATCGAATGCCATCGAGAGTTTCCTATAAGTCTCATCTAGCTTTTGCCAACCATTCAATTTTTGTCAGTCTCTCCACCATGCAACTGCCTTTTCAACCACCCAACCAATCGACTCTCCAAATATGCAACTCTTCTCAAGCAAACCATTCAACCAATCAACCTAAATCTCTTCCCAGCCAATTAGCTTCCACCTCTCCTCAGCCAATCACGTCTTCCCAACAGATAGAATTCGTGGCCACTACTTCCGATTTGGAAACCTTGAAGAGAAAACACAACATCTCAGACGATAACGTTATTGTTCTGAGTTCGAGGTAAGTGCGTTTTATTTATTTATTTATTTTTAGATTATTTTACGGGTTTTGAAAAGAGGGAAAGAGGAAATGTGGGAAGATGTTGTTTTTTTTTCTTTCTGGATTGATTAAAGTAAATGGGGAGGAGGTATTTGTTATTGTATTTTATTGGGGTTGCGGGGGAGAGCGAATGCTGTGTTGTCTCTAGGTGAGTTTGATAAATCTAATGTGAATACAGACATACACAGAAGGACAATAATATAATTCAAACAAACAAACGTACAAACACACAAACAAACAAGAAAATACACACCAAATGTTCCCTCCACGTTCAACTTCTCCCTCCCTCCCCCTCCCCCACCAACACCTCCTTCCCCCCCTTCACCTCCATCACCACCTGTCCCTTTACCCCCACCCCCCACACACACATACACAGACTACCATGATTGCAGTTATTATTATTATTATCATTATTATCATTATTTCCATTATTTCCACTTCCTCCTCCTCCTCCACCTCCACCTCTCCCTTCACCTCCTCCTCCTCCTCCTCCTCCTCCTCCTCCTCCTCCTCCTCCCCCTCCACCTCCCCCTCCACCTCCCCCTCCACATCCTCCTCCTCCACCTCTCCCTCCACCTCCTCCACCTCCCCCACCACCTCCACCTCCACCACCTCCTCCCCCTCCACCTCCTCCTCCTCCTCCTCCTCCTCCACCTCCTCCTCCTCCTCCTCCTCCTCCACCTCCTCCACCTCCCCCTCCACCTCTCCCTTCACCTCCTCCTCCACCTCCTCCTCCCCCTCCCCCTCCCCCTCCACCACCTCCACCTCCAGCCAGTTCCTCATGCCGGGCCTCGTGGACACGCACCTCCACGCCCCTCAGTTCCCCAACAACGGCATCCACCTGGACCTCCCCCTCCTGGAGTGGCTGCAGAACTTTACCTTCCCGACGGAGGCCAAGTTCTCCGACGAGATGTTCGCGCGCGGGGTCTACGCCAAGGCTGTGGTGAGTGTGGGGGGGAGGGGATGAGGGGGGGAGTGGGGAGGGAAGTGGGGGATGAGGGAGTGGGGATGAGGGGAGGGAGGGGGGAAAGGGGAGGGAAGGGGTGTGGGGGATGGAGGGGAGGGGAGGGGGTGAGGGGAGTGGGGAGGGAAGTGGGGGATGAGGGAGTGGGGTGGGGAGGGGAGGGGGGAGGGGGTATGAGGGAGGGAAGGGAAAGGGAGGAGCTAGGGAATGAGAGAGAGAGATGGGGAATGAGAGGGGAAGAGGCGGGGATTGGGAGGAGAGAGAGAGAGAGAGGGAGAGAGAGAGAGAGAGAGAGAGAGAGAGAGAGAGAGAGAGAGAGAGAGAGAGAGAGAGAGAGAGAGAGAGAGAGAGAAAGACATGGGGGGTGAGAGAGGAAAGTGAGAGAGAGAGATGGGGAGTGAGAGGCGAAGGAGAGGGGGGTGGGGGAGGGAGAGATGGGGTGTGAGAGGGGAAAGATAAAGAGAGAGAGAGAGAGAGAGAGAGAGAGAGAGAGAGAGAGAGAGAGAGAGAGAGAGAGAGAGAGAGAGAGAGAGAGAGAGAGAGAGAGAGAGAGGAAGAGGGAGAGAGAGAAAGAGAGAAAGAGAGAAAGAGAGAGAGAGAGAGAGAGAGAGAGAGAGAGAGAGAGAGAGAGAGAGAGAGAGAGAGAGAGAGAGAGAGAGAGAGAGAGAGAGAGAGAGAATTAATGAGTAGGAAAATGGAGAGTGAGATGGGAAGTGAAAGGGGAAAGAAAGAGAAAGAGAAATGGGATGTAAGAGGGGAAAGAGAGAGAGAGAGAGAGAGAGAGAGAGAGAGAGAGAGAGAGAGAGAGAGAGAGAGAGAGAGAGAGAGAGAGAGAGAGAGAGAGAGATGGAGAGAAAGAGGGAAAGGAGAGAGATACGGAGTGAAAGGGGGTGAAAAAAGACGGGGAGAGAGAGAGAGGGGAAAGAGAGAAAGATGAGAGAGATGGGCGTGGGTGGAGAAGGAAGAGAGAAAGAAAGATGAGAGAGATGCGGGGATGGGAGGATAAGGAAGAATAAAAGATAATAAATCATACCAGAAGACATATCTAAAAAAAAAATAAAAAAAATCACCAAATGACGACCCGAAACAAGCATTCGAACCAACCGACTCCTCTCTCACACCCCCTCCCCTCCCCCTCCCCCCCCTCCCCCCTCGTTACACCTACAGGATCGAGTCCTACGCTGCGGCACCACCACCGCCTCCTACTTCGGGTCCAAGCACTTAGAAGCCACGAAGATCCTCAGCGACATCGTCCTGGAGAGAGGGCAGAGGGCGCTCGTGGGGAAGGTCAACATGATGGTCAACTGTCCGGATTATTATAAAGAACTCTCCGTTGAGGATTCGGTTAAGGAGACGGAAGAGTTTATCCTGTACGTGAGGAGCCTGGAGGTAAGGCTGTGGAATGGGTTAGGGTACTTTTTTTTTAATGATTTTTTTTTTCTCTCTTTCTTTCCTTATTTCTTTCTTTCTTTTCTTTTCTTTCTTTCGTTCTTTCTTTCTTTCTTTCTTTCTTTCTTTCTCTCTTTCCTTCCTTCCTCCCTTCTTTCTTTCTCTCTTTCTTTCTTTCTCTCTTTCCTTCCTTCCTTCCTTCCTTCTTTCTTTCTCTCTTCCCTTCTTTCTTTCCTTCTTTCTTTCTCTCTCTTTCTCTTTCTTTCTTTCTCTCTTTCGTTCCTTTCTTCCTTCTTTCCTTCTTTATTTCTCTTTTTTTCTTCTTCCAAAATTACTGGGCATTCGTTGAGGAAAGGGAATTTAAAATGCACGATGTGAAGTAAATTAATTCATGTTCGTTTACATTAATAAATAGAATTAGAAGGAATAACTAACCTTCTGATGTATGGAAGTACTTAATCTTTTAATTAAGTTCTAATCACGCTTACTTCCGACCTACCATCCCCAACGCAAATGGTGATGATAAATGGTAATGCAGTAAAGAGAGTACCAATAATGTATATAATACTAGTAGTATATAATCCCGTTAATATATATATAATCCTAGTAATTTATATATAATACAAGTAAAAATATATATAATACAAGTAAAAATATATATAATACAAGTAAAAATATATATAATACTAGTACTTTATGTATAATACAAGTAAAAATATATATAATACCAGTAATTTATAAAAAAATACTAGTAAAAAATATATATAATACTAATATGCATAAGAAATAACAGTGCACAATAATAACGATGAGAATATTAATAACCACAACAATAAAACAACAAAAATGAACAATAATAACCACACTCACCGCTTTCAGTCCCCTCTGGTCCAACCCATCGTCACGCCTCGGTTCGCTCCCACCTGTCCCAGAGAACAGCTGCAGAGCCTGGGCCAGCTGGCAGCCAAACACGAGTGCCACATCCAGAGCCACCTGTGCGAGAGCCAAGCGGAGAAGGCCTGGGTCAAGGAACTGTTTCCGGGGACGAGGAACTATGCAGAGGTTTACGACTGCACGAGGCTGTTGACGGAGAAGGTGCGTGTAGGGTGAGGGAGAGGGAGAGGGAGAGAGAGATTGAGAGAGAGAGATTGAGAGAGAGAGATTGAGAGAGAGAGATTGAGAGAGAGAGATTGAGAGAGAGAGATTGAGAGAGAGAGATTGAGAGAGAGATGGAGAGAGAGATGGAGAGAGAGAGATGGAGAGAGAGATTGAGAGAGAGATTGAGAGAGAGAGATTGAGAGAGAGAGATTGAGAGAGAGAGAGATTGAGAGAGAGAGATTGAGAGAGAGAGATTGAGAGAGAGAGATTGGGAGAGAGAGAGATTGGGAGAGAGAGAGATTGGGAGAGAGAGAGATTGGGAGAGAGAGAGATTGGAGAGAGAGAGATTGGGAGAGAGAGAGATTGGGAGAGAGAGAGATTGGGAGAGAGAGAGATTGGGAGAGAGAGAGATTGGGAGAGAGAGAGATTGGGAGAGAGAGAGATTGGGAGAGAGAGAGATTGGGAGAGAGAGAGATTGGGAGAGAGAGAGAGAAGGGAGAGAGGGAGAGAAGGAGAGAGGGAGAGAGGGAGAGAGGGAGAGAGGGAGAGAAGGAGAGAAGGAGAGAAGGAGAGAGGGAGAGAAGGAGAGAAGGAGAGAAGGAGAGAGGAGAGAGGGGGAGAGGGAGAGAGGGAGAGAGGGAGAGAGGGAGAGAGGGAGAGAGGGAGAGAGAGAGAGAGAGAGAGAGAGAGAGAGAGAGAGAGAGAGAGAGAGAGAGAGAGAGAGAGAGAGAGAGAGAGAGAGAGAGAGAGAGAGAAGAGAGAGAGAGCGAGAAATCTTGAATAGCCAGCCAGTAAACATTGACAATCATGTTTCTATTGCTAATAACAATATAAATAACAGTCCTCTTGCGCTAGTAACAGCTCACTAACGACGACCTTTTTACCCTCTACCAACCCCCCCCCCTCGCCACTACCCCTTTCCGCCCCCTCTCCTCGCCCCCCTCCCCTTTCTCCTTCATTCCTTCCCCTCTCCCCTACCCGATACTTCCCCTCCCTTTCCTCCTTCTGTTTCCCCTCCCACTTCACTTCCCTCTCCCCCTTCTCTCCTATTCACTCACCCTTTCCGCCCCTCCAACTCCCCTCTCCCCTTCCCCACTCCCTTCTCCTTCCTCTCCCCTCCTCCCCCACCTCTCCGGCCCCCACCCTCTCCTCCTACCTCACCCCCTCCACCTTCTACTCCTCTCTTCCCTCTCTCCCCTCCCCCCCCTCACTCCCCCCTATTCCCTCCTCACCCCTCCACCTCCTTCTCCCTTCTCCCCTCTTCCCTCTCCCACTTCTCCCTTCACTCCCCCTCCTTTCTCCCACTCCATACCTACCTCCTTCTCCCCTCTCCCCTCTCTCCTTCCCCACTCCTCTCTCCCCTTCCCCTCCCTCTCTCCTCCGCCCACCCCCCTATTCCCTCCTCTCCCCTCCACCTCCCCCTCCCCCTCCCCCCTCCCTCTCCCCCTCTCCTCTCCTCTCCCCTCCCCAACCCAAGACCGTGATGGCCCACTGCGTGTACCTGGACGACGAGGAGGTGGCACTGGTGAGGCGGAGTGGCACTGGCGTCGCCCATTGCCCCAACTCCAACCTGTCCTTGAGGTCCGGCATCTGCAACGTCAAGAGACTTCTGGAGGAGGGGCTCAAGGTCGGCCTCGGGACTGGTATGTGGTGCTTCGAGGAGGAGGAGGAGGAGGAGGAGGAGGGGGGTTGGTAGGAGGAAGAGGAAGGGGGGAGGAGGTAGGAGGTAGGAGGGGAGGTAGGAGGAGGAGGAGGAGGTAGGAGGAGGAGGAGGAAGGGGAGGAGGAGGAGGAGGAGGAGGAGGTAGGAGGAGGTGAGGAGGAGGAGGAGGAGGAGGAGGAGTTGTTCTTGTTATTATTTCCTCTTCTTCTTTGCCACCGCCGTCTTCTTCTTATTATTTTTCTTCTTTCTTTTTTTCTTCCTCCTCCATCTTTTCTTCTTTTTTTCATGATCTTCCCATTTTTCTTATTATTATTTGTTTCTTCTCTCTTCTTTTTCTTCTTCTTCTCCTCCTCCTCCTCCTCCTCCTCCTCCTCCTCCCCCTCCTCCTCCCCCTCCTTCTCCTCCTCCTCCCCCTCCTCCTCCTCCTCCTCCCCCTCCTCCTCCTCCCCCCTCCTCCTCCTCCTCCCCCTCCTCCTCCTCCTCCCCCTCCTCCTCCTCCTCCTCCTCCTCCTCCTGCTCCCCCCCTCCTCCTCCTTCTCCTCCTCCTCCTCCTCCTTCTCCTCCTCCTCCTCCTCCTTCTTCTCTCTCTTCCTCCTCCTCCTCCTCCTCCTCCTTCTTCTCTTCCTCCTCCTCCTCCTTCTCCTCCTTCTCCTCCTCCTCCTCCTCCTTCTTCCCCTTCCTCCTCCTCCTCCTCCTCCTTCTTCTACTCCTCCTCCTCCATCTCCGCCTGCATATTTTAGTCATTTTAAAATTTAAAATCATCTCCGCACCTTTTCCTCCCAAAACCACATTCCTGATCTCATCAAAGCTTCACCTCTCCCCCCAACCAGACTGTTCCGGGGGATTCAGCGCCTCCATCTTGGACTCCCTCCGCCTGGCCGTCTTGGTCTCGAAGGCCCTGGCGTCGACGTCCGATTCGAAGCACCTCACGCTCGAGGAATCCTTTCGCCTGGCTACGCTCGGGGGCGCGGAGGGTAGGTGCTGGCTTGTTTTTTTTTTTTTTTTTTTTTTTTTTTTTTTTTTTTTATGGGGGGGGGAGTTTGGTTGGTTAGGGGATTTTTTTTTTCTTTTTTGGGGGTGAGATGGGGTGGGGTGGGTGGGGGGGTTGGTGTATGAGGGGTGTTTTGAAGTGAGGATGTTAGTTTTAGTGTTTTTTTTTGTGTGTATGGTTATTGGTGTGTGATGAGGGGTGTTTGGAAGGGAGGAAGTTAGTTTGCTGTCAGTTGGGTTGTCTTGGGGAGGCGGACTGGCAAGGCCTGCGTCCCCACAGCCACCCATTAACCCTTGGGGCACCAACTGGCAGCGAAGCATATAGAAGTTGGTGCTGGGGGGATGGCAAACGTCCCTCTTACCCAGCAAGTGAGGCAGGCTGTAAGTCCCACTGGGTTGGCGAACGCTGGGACTCGGTCTGGGAACCGGGATTACCCGTCCCGCCTGCATCCCAGCGGCCGCCAACCTGACGTGAGGCTTGTGAGGCAAAACCCACGGGACTCCCACAGGTGGATTAAGGGACCTGCAGCCAGCCAACCCCTGCTATGTGGGGCAACGTCGGTAGGGCTACCCCAGCAGTGGTGGCGCCCACCCGGAGTGACTGCTCGAGGTTAGACTTCAGGCGGGCTGTCAGGGGGGGGGGGGGACGATCGGTTACCGCAACTGTCGAGGGAATTGAAGCTGCTGAGGGTTAAGATGGCTTCTCTCTCGGAGGTGAGAAGACCTGGCAGAGGCACGATTAATGTGGGTGGCCACACCTATTACTGGTCAACCCGCAGCGATGGCCACCATCTCCAGGGAGTAGCCATAGCCATCTCCAGCAGACTTCAATCCTCGGTAGTAGAGTCACTCCAGTCGACGAGCGTATAATGGTATTGAGACGGGAGCTAACACTTGGCTCCATGTCTCTTATTGCTCTGTATGCCCCTACTGATGTGTATAAACTTGATGTGAACAGACAGCTGCCCTCGGTGAGATATTGGTATTGTACAGGTGACTTCAATACAGTATCTGGATGTGATCCAGCTGTCTGTCTGTCGACTTCACGACTCAGGAGCTGATGCTGGCAGCGAGAATAGTGTCCTTTTCCTTGACTTTGCTAGGTCCCAGAAATTGAGGATTTCTTGCTCTTGGTATCAGCGCTCTGACCCGCATTGTTGGACTTGATACAGCAATGCAGGTAATGTGGCTAAGGAGATTGATCACATCCTCGTTAGCATTCGCTGGAGGATCCTCCGGAACTGCAGGGTGTACCTGTGGAATTGATGATAGATTAGTCTCCAGGTTCACTTCAGACCCCCTGTCGTTCCAATGAACACCCTAGGGTGTTTCATGTGGACAGATTGAGGGAAGGGGAGTGTGCCCAGGGGTTTGCTGAGGATATCTTTGGTCTATCCTGGGCCTGATAAATCCCGTTCGTCTGTGGGACACCTTCAAGTGAGAAACGCTTGATGCAACCCAAGAATCAATTGGTGAATGCCCAAGGCCAAGACACAGTTTCATGTCCCAGGAGACATCGGAAGCTACAGATACTTGTCGGGCGGCTCGACTGTTGGGGGATCGTGACTTGAATTGTTCCTTGGTACGCATGACTAGGTCACTGCTGAGAAGGGACAAGGATCAGTTCATCAGGAATCTTGCAGAGGAGGTCGAAAGCCATTTCCTAGTAAATGACCTTCGTCCTGCCTACCAAGCCCTGAGAAAGCTGAACTCCAATCCCTCCTCGCAGACGACCGCAGTCCGCCCAGCAAGTGGCCAGATAATATCAGATCCTGTTTGGGTGCGGGTGAGTTGAGTATTTCGAGCAGTTGTACCTGGTTGATCCACCAACAAGGAGGAGGCCCGTGGAACGACCTAGGAAATCGTGGCTTGGGAGATCGATCAAACCTGTCGTGAAGAACTAGAGATGGTCCGGGCCCCTGGCTGGCGGCTCGCCATGAGGGACCCTCGTAGTGGAAACGAAAGGTGGACGCGGCTCTGCGCCCCCGACGGCGTTAGCTCCCCAATGACGATGATGTTAGTTTTGTTGATTAGGGGAAAGGCGTTTTTTCGAGGTCTGTCGTTAGCGGTATGTGATGAGATACGGGTGGAGGTGATTTGTTGGGTGCTGGGTTATCAGGTTTTGTTAATTTGGAGAAAAAAAGGTATTTTTGGTATGGTTGTTTGTAAGTAATGAGAGATTATGTTTTTTTTTTTTTTTTTTTTTTTTTTTTTGGGGGGGGGGGCTACATTTACAGAATTTGGTAAATATACTTTTGACTAGTAACGTAAATATATATATATTTTGTATTGTTAGAGCTTATTTTTTTATTATTATAGTTACTCTTGGTGATTTTGTACGGTACAGTTACACGATTTTATTAGTAACGTAAAATTATCTTTTACACCGTCATTAACTTAAGCTTACAATTTCATCCAAAATATAATATTTTCTTGGATTGTAATATCCGTTAAATTTCCCTTTTATCCAGTATTCTATTTTCTTAATTCAATTTTCTGCATTTTAATTCATCCCATTTCCATATTCTTTCCTCCCAAACCAATATCTCCATTTACCTATATATATATATATTTATAATAACAATAAAACTAATAATAAAAAATAACAATATCTTTTAATTCTCAAGAAAAACAATACCAACACAGATCTTCACTTACTTATACTTTTTTTAAAATTTCTTTTGCCTTTGTTTCTCTGCCAGTTCTCCACATGAGCGATCGGATCGGAAACTTCGAGATCCAGAAGGAATTCGATGCTCTGCTGATCGACGTAGAAGCCAAGGGAACGCCGGTCGATATCTTCCCCGAGGTAGCGAGAGGCGTTTATAGTTTAGATCACACAGATGGATTGGTGGGGGGGGAGGGGAGGTTGGTTAGATAGATAGATTGATAGATAGTTAGGTAGGTGGGTGGGGAGATAGATAGATAAGTAAGTAAGTAAGTAGATAGATAGGTAGGTAGGTAAATAGACAGATAGATGGGTAGATAGACAGGTAGATAGATAGATAGGTAGGTGGGTGGGGAGATAGATAGATAGATAGATAAGTAAGGAGAAAAGTAGGTAGGTAGGTAAGTAGACAGATGGATGGATAGATAGACAGGTAGATAGATAGATAGATAGTTAGGTAGATGGGTGGGGAGATAGATAGATAAGTAAGTCAGTAGATAGATAGGTAGGTAGGTAAATAGACAGATAGATGGGTAGATAGACAGGTAGATAGATAGATTGGTAGATAGATATGTAAGTAGATTAGATAAGAAGATAAGTAGGTTGATAGATGGTAGATAGATAGGTAGGTAGGTAAGTAGATGGGTAGATAGATATGTAGATAGGTTGATAAGTAGGCTGATAGAGGGGTAGATAGATAGGTAGGTAGGTAGATAGATGACTAATAGATAGGTGACTAATTAGATATATAGGTATGTATGTATGTTTGTTTGTACAATACATATGTATGAAGGGGGAGGGAGGATAGATAAATAGGTAAATATAGAGTTTATATATATACACAGACATGTATATATATATATATATATATATATATATATATATATATATATATATATATATATATATATATATATATATATATATATATATATATATATATATATATATATATATATATATATATATATATATATATATATATACATATATATATATATATATATATATATATATATATATATATATATATATATATATATATATATATATACATACATATACATACATATATATATACACATACATACATGTATATATATATCTGTGCGTGTGTGCGTGTGTGTGTGTGTGTGTG